AATATTAATTTTAACATTTTTATGACGAGAGAAAAAATTATATTAAAAAATACGTATGTAAGTAGGTACTATTTTTTTAAATTCGTAAATTTTGACATTTTATTTTTTAGTACCTTTTGTAGATTTATTACAGTTTATACATTTAGCCACAGCGCAGTTTGAGATTATAACGCAACACATAAAATAACAAAAACAAAATAAAAATATTAAATTTGGATGTCTTACACTTAAAATAATAATTATTATAATTTTAATTTGGAAATAATATAATAATAATACACGCAATATTCTCTCCACTCAAAAAATATTAAATTATTATTATTATTATTAAAACATTACCAAACATAATTTAACATAATAATATTATTAAACAATGCAAGTTTAATAACTAGTTTCGAACGTCGAATGTGCCGTACTTACGCTTGGCGAACGAATCGTGGTTACTAAGTGTTGCACATAACAGAATATTTACTTTAAGCGTTTCGAATTAAAAAAGGTCCGCATGAGCAACGGAGAGAGATAACTAGACTAAATCTATTTTTAGACTCGAAAATCTGGCAACCCTGTCGGAAGTGTCTACGATGCAATTGTCTCTATATATGATGGAAGTGACTAAGTCACGGCCATAGTACACAAATATTTATTTGCGAAATCCTTTCCCCTCTCTAGAGATTCGGATTACGTAGGTTCCCCTTCACTTATATATAGTTTTAAAATGCTTGTATAAGCCTTCGTTCATGTGGAAGTTAGGACGCCCTGTTTATACTACGGAAGTGACAACTTAACAGGCATCGATATATATATATATATATATACATATATATATATATATATATATATATATATATATATATATATATATATATATATATATATATATATATATATATATATATATATATATATATATATATATATATATATATATATATATATTAATATATTTAACCTTATATATGGCATAATTTATGCAGCATTTCAGTAAATGCAATAAAAATATTCAGATGCCAGAAACAAGTGATTAGAGTTTTAGCATGCTAAAAGGCCAAAACTAATACGAATGCCAAAACTGATGGGAACCACTAGGTATGTTTGTTTATTCTCTACTGCTTAATTGTAATTTACGATTCATAATTCTAAAAATACTTATTTGTTCTTAACAAATAAGTATTTTTAGAATTATGAATTCATAATTCTAAAAATACTTATTTGTTCTTAACAAATAAGTATTTTTAGAATTATGAATTCAGGCTAAAAAAAATCTCTTAAGAATACTTTTACAACCATTTACAACAAAGAATACAACAAATAGATTAAAGTCAGAAATAAAGATTATTTTATGAAAAAATGTTTTTATTCCATCGAAGAGTATTTTTATTTATATTTTTTAACTTATATAAACTATGCTATTTTTATTATTAGTTTGTATTATACACAAGCACAGGGTTGGGGTTATCAGGATTGTTCTTCAAAAAGATCCGTTGGAAAAAAATTATCAATATTAAAAAATCACAATCTCTTGAATATAATTCATTTAATAATAATAATAATAATAATAATAATAATAATAATAATAATAATAATAAATCATTTATTGACCAAAAACAAACCAGAAAATAATAAATTTTAGTTACATTTTATTGGACAAAAGGGATATTGCTCAGATTTCCGTAAACAGAATCTGTTCTTCCGCAATTCCCAAAATAAAATAGATTTAATTCTATTAAATAGTAGATGACAACATTTTCTTAATTTAACAAATTATTTTAAACCATTTTTTAAATTCAAATTTAATTATATTATTAGTAGATGACAAAACTTTCTTATTTTAACATTTTCTTTGTAACAATTTTCTATGTATTAATAACATTTACTTTTTAATAATACATTATATTTCTAACAATTTTTTTTAATGTATTGATGCAAGGAGCGAACGGAAATGCTGGTATCAGTTATGTTGAACCTATTTAGAAGTTGTGGCAGATTATAGGACATGGACCTTTTATATATTTCTTTTTTGTGGCGTGGTATATCTATTGTTTTACGTCTAATATTTATACCATGTATATCACCACGGTATTTAATTTTTTTCGCTAAATAAACTGGTTTATTCCATTTGATTATTTTATAAAAAAAACAGCACATATGAAGCGTTCTTCTGGAGGCCATATTTAACCACCCTGCATCTTTGAGCTTGTGCGAGATATGAAATCTCCTATTAATTCCATAAATCAGTCGCAAGCAAGCATTTTGTAAGGTTTGAAGGCGTCTAACATCGGTGTTATTCAGACAGGGACCGTAAACAGTGTCACAAAAATTTGCATGACTTAGTACTAGAGTTTCACATAATAATTTTTTAGTGTTTCTATCTAGATATTGCCGATGTGGATATATTTGTTTTAACCCATAGTAACTTTTCTTAAGAATGTTATTAACATGCCCAGTAAATCGCAATTGATTATCAAAGATAACACCAAGATTCCTAACTTGATCCACCACTTTAACAGGCCCACCATCCAACTTAATACGAAGCCGAGCCTTTACCACCCCTTTAATATTTTCTTTTGCAAATATGATTACTGAGGATTTATCAGGGTTTATCCGCAACAGATGATCATGAGATTTATGAAGTAATATTTCTAGATCTTTATTTATTAATTCACATGCATCATCTATCTCAGATAATTTAAAAGAATGGTACACTTGCGTATCATCTGCATATGTGTGGTATTGGCACGTTCGAAAACTATCGTAAAAGCCGGAGGTGTAAACCGTATAAAGCAGAGGACCTAAAATGCTGCCCTGTGGAACCCCATTAAGTGACAAGAAAGGCTCAGATAGGACATCTTCAATTTTAACCCACTGCACCCTGTCTTTTAAAAAGGATCCAATAAACTGTATAATTGTCAACAATATTCATGGTTAATCATATCAAAGGCCTTAGAATAATCAATCAATACCAAAACACTAACTTTACTATCATCAAATCCTTTTAAAAGATCATCAGTAATACAAGACAGAGCAGTAGCACAACTATATTGAGGCCGAAAGCCAGATTGCCTTTCCGGTAAAATATTATAGTTCTCTAAAAAAGCTCTGAGTTGCATTTCCATAACTTTCTCTAGAACTTTAGATAGTATCGGAAGAATGCTAATAGACCGAAATTCATTCAAAGATGCAGGTTGGCTATTTTTAGGCAGTGGTATTAACAGAGCCTCCTTCCATGCCTTGGGGAAGTATGAATATTGAATACAACAATTTATCATATGTGTTTTAACAGGTAATATTATTGGGCAACACATTAATATCAAAGTTATGTTCAATTTGTCCACTCCGAAGGCTGTTGTCTTAATAGAAAACAATAATTTATTGATTTCCTCTTCACTAGTCAAATTGAATTTAAAAAGTTCAGCAAAATCAAATTTAGTGTTTTCCTGATAAAATTTCAGAACCTCTTGTCTTGGATGAGATGGAACTTGCATTTGAGCAAAATGATTTTTAAATATTTCTACGTTTTTTTTGGAATCTTAGCAGGTTTTTTTGAGCCAATATTTAGTCTATTTAGCTCCCGCCAACGTTCGCGTACATTTGAGTTTTCGAATTTGTGTTTTAAGTAAGCTCTCTTTTCGTTATTAATAGCTGTTGTAAAATTTCTCAATAGTTTGTAATAATTCCAGTGCCCAGGGTTTTTCGATGTTTTAAATTTACTTAAAGCTTTATCACTTAACTTTTGCATTAACTTTATATTATCAGTTATCCAGGGTACATGTTTTTTAGGGTTTTTAATTTTTTTAGTTATAAGGGGGGCATGAAAATCAATTAAATTTAACACAGTTGAATTAAAATACTTAATTTTATCTTGTATGTTAGGGGTTGTGTATAGATAATGCCAATTAATGAACCTTAAGTCATAATGAAAATTATCCAAATTAATATTTTTTAAGTTTCTGGAACTAATTTTTATAGGCTGTGAATGCAGATCGTTATTAAGTTTAGTGCAGCAGTGTGTTAAAAAATGATCTGACAGATTATTATCAATAACATTACAGGATAGTAGTGTAAACAAAGATTTATTAAGAAAAAATAAATCTATAATTGAAGACGTAGTTGCTGTCAATCTAGTTGGTTCCTGGATAACTTGTGAAAGAGAAAATGTATCAATAATATTTATCAACTTTTTTGTGTTAGAGTTATCATTTAACATATTGATGTTTAGATCACCAAAGAAAATTATATTTTCATAAGTTATATACAAATCTATAAGTACATCATTTAAACATTTCAAAAAGTCATTTACGTTGGTATTGGGTGGCCTGTATACACAACCAACCGCGAGTTTTTTACCCGATATTTCCAGTTCTATCCAGATATACTCAATATAACCATTACACTCACGAGAAATTAGAGATGATTTACCTATATTACCTTTAACATACATACCAACACCACCTCCTCTATGTGGTCTATCTTGTCTATAAAATGTGTAGCCCTCAACATTTGTAAAATTATTATTTATATTTGCATCCAACCAGGTTTCCGTTACCCCAATTACATCATAAGACATTTGAATTATATGATCCTTAAAATTATTAAAGTTATTTCTTATTGATCTTATATTTTGATAAGCAAACTTAATCATATTATAGCAGTATTTTACACAAACATTTACCTAATAAAGCAAAATTGATTTATACTGGATTATAATTGACTTATAATAACACAGACCGATTTCAACAAAATAAAAATAAGAAATTATATAAATAAAATATCCTTTATATAAAAACAATATTAGTTTAGAAAAGAAAATTAGTTGCTTTAAACAAAATTTATTTACAAAAACAAGATGTTTAATTTTTGATTAATAAACAGACAAAATAACAATTTAATTTCAACAAATAATATTTTTGCCCAAGACAGTATAAATTTACAAATATACCTACTGACCTATTTTCAATAAAAATAAAATTAAAGAGAAAAAATTACAAAGAAAACAAAAAAATGCCCAATATACCAAAACAATATTAGTTAAGAAAAGAAAATATTCTACTTAAAATAAAGAATAATCTACTAAACACATATACCAATTAGTAAAAAGAATAAAAAAATATAAAGTAAGAAAAGTTTTTACATTGTTTTCTATGCTCCCCGTATATAACCAAAGTTAAATTTAAAGTGATTGTTCATAAAAACAAGCGTATATTATTATTGTAATAGTTTTAGAATGCACCAACAAAAAATAAGTTAAGTATTTAATGAATTTAACAAGCTTACATCGTCCTTTGAGTAAATCCGTCTTTTTGTATCACCACACTGAATATAAACATTGCCAAATGATGTCCAATAAGACATTTGCAGCTTATTTGTATTAATATGTTCTTTGACACACTTAAATAGTTCTTGTTGAGATTTATTTAACACTTCAGACACTACAACTTTACTGCCCTTTAATTTGCGTTTATTTACATATACATGATTCCGCTTCCACTTATTTACAAATGCAACGATCACCGGCCTATGATGTTTTTGTGAAGTTTTTTTGCCCAAGCGATAGCATTCACTTATGTCATTCTTGTTTAAATTTAACTCGAATTTTGTATTTATAATGTTTATAATGACTTCCATAACATTTTCATGCTTTTCTTCTACTATCCCGTGAATTATTATTTTATGGCCATTTAAATAATCCGTCACATGCTTTAGTTCAGCCTGCATATGCCTCTGAAATTCTAATATTTCCTTTCTTATATCAGCCATATTTTCTAGAAATTTCACTTCTGGGGCATCTATTTTCCCTTGTAAAATATCATTTTCAGAATGATCATTACTTGCCACTATTTTAGAATTTGTTTCTTCTCGAATACTTTTCAGTTCAGTTTGAAACTTGGACATTAAACCGTCGACTTTATCATTAAGTTCCTTAACGCTTTTTGCCATTTTCTAGTTGTACACTCACTCTATTAGTCTTAAAACACTAAACTATAGCGATTTGTGCTAATTTTCATGTAACAATATCACTTTTACTCAAATATTTACGGAGCACAGAATAAACGCCTATCTACTATACGCCATCTTGTGAATGATATCCAATTCCTTTATTATTAATTTATAATCAATATTAAATTTATATTTTCTTAATATTTATTTATATAAGTACCAGCCGAGCAGGTGTATATGTTCGGGTTACATCAAAATATAATTAAAATAATTTCTGAAAAAATACGAGTACTTAAAAACTATCGATAATTTTCATGAAATTTTAATTCCAATTTACCGTATTTCCTTTTTTAAATATTTGTGCAAAAATGTAGAAAAACACTGGTGTTGACGTTTTTGGTTTACGATACAAACAAACCGTTGTCATAGCAACGTGGTATTTCTACTTATTAATTTTTTAAAGTTTTCACCTATTAATTCAGCACCTGTTACCACTATACATAAGTAAAGTTTTTTTTGAAAAATTAGCGCCCTCCTTATGGAGACGCCTAAGGCCGCGGCCCTTGTCGCTTCAACATCACTGCGGTTCTAATAGATCCATTGATAGTTAATATTACATTTTCTATTGGTTTGCTTCATTAATAGTTACTATTGGTTAGGTCATAAGGCTGAGAAGTGTTTTTGTGCTGAAGTCAAAGTTTGAATGTCGGCCCCTAAAAATAAGCCAAGCACAAAAAGACACTGCCTAACCGCATATATATATATATATATATATATAAATATGTTACGGCTAATGTGCAAACTTGGATAGTTTATAAACTAGCCAAACTGTTAGCTATTTTAATTGAAAACATATTTTAAACTAAATTAGCCGCTAGTTTACAAAATAACCAAGGATCTTGGCTAATTTACTTGAAATTATTAGGGAAACTAAAATAGCTGGATAGTTTGTATACTATCCAATTCAGTTTGGCTAATATGAAAACCAAAATTTCTAGTAACACAAAATAGCCAAGCTTTAGCTAGTTTGTAAACTAACCAACCAATTCTCTGGCTAATTTATTAAAAAAGTGAGGTTACGGCATTGATTTTCGTTTTGCCGGCTTAACCGGATTTGTTTTGTGCATTTTAACGTTTTTAAAATGAATCATAGATAAAATTTTAACGCTTCCTTGTTAGAAAACTCAACAACACAACCCTACCGACCCCGCCCCATTGGTCAAATGGTTAAAAATGAGAGAAAAAAACCCAAACCATTCCAAACTCAACAACACAACCCAACCGACCCCGCCCCATTCGGGAGGTAAAAAACAAGATTAATCTGAATTATTTTTTAAGCCTAGGAGGTTTTTTGATTGAAAATGAAAGTTAAATAATTGTAATTAACAATAGTATCAAAATAAAACTATTAAACTTTATTTTTGTCCTTGGTTATTAAAACTAATATTCTTTTTAAAAATGAAAACTATTTTATTTATAAAGTTGATATTCATACCACGTTTAAAATGTATTTTTCAAAGCGTTTCGCAACCAAATAAAGAAACAAATTTAGTTTGATTCCAATTCCTCGTATGATAAATTTGTCGGATAAATTTGAAGTATATTCGAACCCTAGAGTTTTGATAGATCGTTTTCAATAAGCATTTACTATGCACACGTTCTCAATTCTGACTAAATATTCTGTCAATTTATATTGCCGATATTTTTCATACTTATTGTAATGTAAAACAAAATAACATCATAGATGTATACAAAGTGATACATTTATCAATGTAAATAAATTGTAGCTTTAGGTGGCATAAAACAAGATAATCTAAAAATATAAAGATCATTTTTTTATTCATTTATCAATAATTGTAGCAAAAAATGTTTAGTTATTGAACAACAATTAATAATTATACTTGTTTATAAAATCCACTATCAATTTTGTTAATAAATTAAGATCTATTTTAAGTTTTTAAATCAATGAAAATAGGACCAGAGAAAAGACAAGGTGAACGTAAGATTTTTACAAAACTTTAGTTAATTTTAGCAATAAACTTCTGTATTTTAAGAAGGTATCATGATATTTATAACATTTAAATTATGGTAGAGGTACCAAGCTTTTAACGTAGGATTAACCTTAATAAATGGTGTGGTCCTGTAATGTTTGACATGATATGTAAAATTATGATTATGAATATACTTAAACCATTGATCTTCACTTAAAGCTTAAACCAAAGCTCGCTTCTGTATCTCAAATTTGTGTCGTGTCGTAGATAAATAAACACATTTACTCTTCATGTCATAAAAAACTTAATAATACCCAATAACATCCACAAAAATGGTGTGGTTCTCAGTGGCGGCTCGCATTACAAAGCTAACAGTACCAGACAATAATCGTTGATTAATTTATTTGATAACATGGACGAGATGTATTTGTGTTGGCTACCGAGTTCGTACGATTTGACGCCACTCACTTGCCACGCAAACTATTCAGGACTTGGATGCCAATATTCAGCTCGTTACTATGGATGTTTACAAAGTATAAATCGTAAAAAAATTTACAAAAAAAATTATATTCCTTCAGACATAAAAAGCGTGTTTGCGGTTGCTGCCAAGGAAGTCAAAACTTGCATACGAGAAAAAATGCAAAATAAAGGGTACAGAATCAATACCGAAGAATATAATGCTAGCATATTTCCCAAATGAAAAAAATTAACAAAAAATTTATATTCTTCTCAAATTGGACCAAATATTACATGCTTAAGACAACCCTGCGATTACATAAGACAGTCAAAATATCGACCTCGTTTTTCAAAAGTACTTCACGAAACCACAAACCAAAAAAAGGTATTTACATTCAATATAAATGTAAATTTAAATCTAAATAAATAAATAAATTTTGTTTTATTAATTATCATAAAATACTAGTGTGTATATGAAACCAGTATTTTTCATAATGGGTAACAAATATGTACTGCTGCCATTTATTTACAAGTTAAACTAATAAAAGAGGTAATTAGCTTTTTAGTTTGGCGAGACGAATATTTGTCTGACGAATATTTTAGTGTGTTGTTAATGGTGGAGTAGTTAAGACGTATCAAAATCGTTTTGGGTATCACATACCCCACCACACAGTTGTTTTGAAAAAAAATAAACAGTACCAGTTTTTTACAAGCTTTCACCCCGAAATTTTCAAAGAGATAGCAGTCTAGATAGTTTATAAAGGCTTCTTTTTAAAAAGATTTTTACGTTTAATTTTTTTTTGAAGATGTCTTACGAAAAAGAGCAAGAAAACCTTTTAGGCATTTAGGACAAAACTGAGGATGAACCTGATTTGCTACTTCAAAATGACAATAATTCCTTAAATGAAGAGCTGGAAGTGTATTAGGAAATTGACACCGAGGCAAAGATGACGACATCAAGGAAGTTGAGCAGGATGAAAACGAAGTAACGAATGAAAATGAAGAACCTGCAAACAACGAAAATGTCGAACCGGCTGTTAATGAGTTGGGTGGGGCCCAGTTACTTTCTAAATATTTTTGTGATAAAAGTGGTTGAAAGAACGAAAGAAATAGCAAGTACGACCAAGAGCGGAAAATATTATTATTATTATATTGCCTGGAGTAAAGGGAAATGCCAAATTTGCAAAAACTACCGTATAATGCTGGCAGCTCTTTTTTGACAACCAAATGATTGTAGATATAGTAAAATTTACAAATATTAACATTTCTGAAAGAGCACCTCCACCAGTTTCCCACACCTTTCTCTAAATGACATAAAATTTAAGGCGTGGAAGGGCCCTCTATAAGGGAATTATTTCCCGGGCCCTAAAATCACCCCAGCACGCGCCTGATCTTGTATAGTTCAATTTTTTTAAATAATAATATATGATCGGTACTATAGAAAGCTTTAGACAGATCAAGGCATACTTAATAGGAACGTATTTTTATTTAAGTTTTGTGATTTAATTATATTACAAAGTGCCTGAAAAATTGCTCGAATTGTACATTTATTTTTCTAAAAACCATTTTAAGAATCATTTAGGATAAGACTAATTTTTAAAAATTTTGATGATGTCAAAATTTAAAGAAATAAAAACCCTTATGTTTCATGAATGTTTTTTATAATCCTGATGACCTTTTTTGTAATATCTTAAATAGGGATTTAATATGCTAAGTATAAATTTAATTTGGAAGCAAATTTGAACCCCAGTTTAATTTAAAAGCACAGGGTATAAATTATACCCAGTAATTAATTGTTCTTTTCGGGCGCAATTTAAAAATGCCTATATTTTATTTGAAGTTCAGTCCGTTTAAAAAATAAATCACAAGAAAATTAAAAACCGATTTAGATATAAAGTGGCAATTTCACAGAGTCGATTAAAAAAAAGTAATTAAATATGGAGCAAATTATTGCATAAAAGCTTGCTGACAGATTTTTTAATTTCATTAAGGACCATCCAAGAAAATGAAAAATTACAGGAGGAAAGCAATCAGTTTTAAATAATTTAAGAATCCTAAATTAGGATGAAAGGGCGAAATCCTTAACGCCATAAATACCGGTAATTAAAAAACTTTGCACAAATCCTCCGATCATCGGAAATCCCATTAATGTTTAATTTTTTTCTTTTAAAAATGTTTAATTTTTTAGCAAAATGGATTGTATCAGTGACAAAGGAAAAGGGATTAGGTAATTGAGCTGGTCTTTTCTTTTTATTTAAAACTGTTGCTAAAACCATTTGTTAATTTGTGTTAATTTTTATAGAAATTAATTTTATCTTTTTCATAACCATTTGAATCGACACATATATCATACTTTCATAAAATCATGCATACACTTGTTATAGGCTTATAAAGAGAAAGCATTGAATCTAAAGTCTTAACTCAAATTATGTTTTTAAGATAAAGGATCGGAAAATGCCAGATAGGGTTACGTGTGATTTTTTTTCGTATCTTAAGGTAAAGGATTTAATAGACTGTAAGGAATAACTCCCTGTAATTAAATTATCTAAAAATGTTATAGGGAATTTTCAACATCTTCAGGTAGCAAAGGTTTTTTTTAATCCCAGGTAATTTTTTTTAGGTTCTTGAAATCAATTAATTTTACAAAAAAGAATCCGTAAAATTGAGTAGAAATTCCCATAACCCTAGGGGTA